GACTATCATGTCTCCTCTCAGCCTTCTCTTCTTCAGGCTAAACATGCCCAGCTCCTTAAGCCGCTCCTCATAGGGCTTGTTCTCCAGACCCTTGATCATTTTAGTCGCTTCCTCTGGACACATTCCAGCTTGTCAATATCTCTCTTCAATTGTGGTGCCCAGAATTGGACACAATATTCCAGGTGTGGTCTAACCAAAGCAGAATAGAGCATGGGGAGCATGACTTCCCTAGATCTAGACACTATGCTCCTATTGATGAAGGCCAAAATCCCATTGGCTTTTTTTGCCGCCACATCACATTGTTGGCTCACGTTTAACTTGTTGTCCACGAGGACTCCAAGATCTTTTTCACACGTACTGCTCTCGAGCCAGGCATCGTCCCCCATTCTGTATCTTTGCATTTCGTTTTTTCTGCCTAATCAAAGCTTAACACGGAAATAAAGACGCACTGAATCCAAGACCGTATAAATCTCCGTTCTGGACGAAGCAACAAGGGACCTTTCACCACTCACTTGAGCAGATGGCTGCTCCTCTTACTCGTGGTTGCAGAATGTGCTGGGGATGAGACATAGTCCCCAAATGCATTGCTCTGATAACTCTATTTTGGTTCCGTATTCATCCCAAACATCCTTTACCCTTCCCTCGTTCTTTCTGTCTTGGAGATGGTTAGATTTTTAAAGATTTGAGACAGGCTTTCGGGGCTTACTAATTATCAATTACGTTTTAATCATTTCAATCAATGGGCTTTGCGATGATAAATTGCAAATGAGACATTTCAGGCCAGTGGACTTTGCAATTACGTATTACAAATTAGCTCATTTTAGCCAACAGACTTTGAAAGCCAAGAGAGGAAGCAAAGTGGGATTTTTTCTAAACGCAGACACGTTGTGTACCTCTCGATAAAATCACTTTGCCTCCTTCCTTGGCGCTTCAGTTGTTTCACAGCCATCCCTTCACATTCACTGAGGTTAGGGGCAGGCATGGGCAAACTTGGGCCCTCCAGGTGTTTTGGAATTCAACTCCTACAATTCCTATCTTTGGCCCCTCCTCCAGGTGTTTTGGACTTCCTAACTTTGGCCCTTCCTCCAGGTGTTTTGGACTTCAACTCCCACAATTCCTAACTTTGACCCTCCCTCCAGGTGTTTTGGACTTCAACTCCCACAATTCCTAACTTTGACCCTCTCTCCAGGTGTTTTGGACTTCAACTCCCACAATTCCTAACTTTGGCCCTTCCTCTAGGTGTTTCGGACTTCAACTCCCACAATTCCTAACTTGGGCCCTCCCTCCAGGTGTTTTGGACTTCAACTCCTACAATTCCTAACTTGGGCCCTCCTTCCAGGTGTTTTGGACTTCAACTCCTACAATTCCTAACTTGGGACCTCCTTCCGGGTGTTTTGGACTTCAATTCCCACAATTCCTAACTTGGGCCCTCCCTCCGGGTGTTTTGGACTTCAATTCCCACAATTCCTAACTTGGGCCCTCCCTCTGGGTGTTTTGGACTTCAACTCCCACAATTCCTAACTTGAGCCCTCCCTCCAGGTGTTTCAGACTTCAACTCCCACAATTCCTAACTTTGGCCTTCCCTCCAGGTGTTTTGGACTACAACTCCCACAATTCCTAACTTTGGCCCTTCTTCTCGGTTTTGGACTTCAACTCCCACAATTCCTAACTTTGGCCCTCCCTCCAGGTGTTTTGGACTTCATCTCTCACAATTCCTAACTTTGGCCCTTCCTCCACGTGTTTTGGACTTCAACTCCCACAATTCCTAACTTTGGCCCTCCCTCTAGGTGTTTCGGACTTCAACTCCCACAATTCCTAGCTTTGGCCCTTCCTCCAGGTATTTTAGACTTCAGCTTCCACAATTCCTAACAGCCTCAGGCCCCTTCCTTTAAGCGGCTGAGGAAGAAAAAGAAAGGGCCTGAGGCTGTTAGGAATTGTGGGATTTGAACTCCAAAACACCTGGAGGAAGGGCCAAAGTTTGCCCATGCCTGGGTTAGGGGAGCAAGGCTCACAAAAGTGTCAAAAGTGCAAATTTTAAAAAACCAACCATGGAGCAGATCTAATTTCCCTTGGAAAGGTGTTCCACAGTTGAGGGGCCACCACAGAAAAGGCCCTGTCCCTTGTCCCCACCAAACGCGATTGCGACGATGGGGGATAACGAGCAGGACCTCCCTGGATGATCTTAGGGTCCTGGGTGGATCGTAGCGGGAGTTACGTTTGGACAAGTAAACTGGGCCAGAACCGTTCTAACCGTTCACCTAAGTCATGAATGAAGATCCTGGGCAGGACCGGATCCAGGACAGAACCCTGCTGATGGCACTCCGCTCGTCACTTCTTTCCAGGATAAAGAAGAGGAAGCCTTGGGGAGAATCACCCTCTGGGTTCGTCCACTTAACCAATTACAGATCCACCTCACTGTAGTTTTGCCTAGCCCACATTGGACTAGTTGCCTTGCCAGAAGGTCATGGGGGACCTTGCCAAAGGAAGGCCTTCCTAAAATTAACGGCGTTCCCTGTGTCTACCTTTGGCCTCAATCCCAATGAAATCCAGTCCCATCCCAAAGAGGCCGCCTTGCATTGGAAGTGCCTTGATCTGACCATTTTGCCGTCTTTTCCCACTGTGTGTGTGACTTCTGGCATAAAGCAAGCTTGGAGCTTTTATCCCAGTGGGAGAATTGATCAGCAACTATTATACGCCTCCAGTTCTGATGTTTTCAGGTTAACACTTCATTATGCGGCAAGTGCATTAGGATGCAACTTCAGTTTGATAGTAATGACCCCAGGCAGTGAAGGAGTGGTGAGTAAAAGGACGGACGTAAAATGAATAGTTGCCTCCTGAAAGTGAAATTTCAAAGCTGGGCGAAGTGGTTGACGCAGGTGGGGGAGGAAAATCAATTGAAGAGAGGTCGTCGCTCGTAAATTGAAATAGGGTGGGAACGGAGGCGAGAGCGAGCGTATGACGCACGGATGAGGAGACCCAGAACCTTTTCCAGTACAGCCTCTCCAAAGCAGTCTTCTCAAAAAAAAAAAAAAGTGTATTGTCTTGGATACGTAGGTGGCTGTGGAGACCTATTTATTTATTTATTTAACTTGTATACCGCTACTCCCAATTTGGCTCGGAGCGGTTTACAGAAGCAGATTAAAACAATACAATTAGCTTTAAAGATAACAACAACAAAACAATAGGCGGCGAGAACAGGCATAGTCCGGGTTGTTCACCCGTCAAAAGCTTGCCGGAAAAGAAAAGTTTTACAGGCTTTCCGAAAAGCAAGTAGGTCTCGGATGGTTCGAGTTTCAAGCGGCAAGGCATTCCATAAATGAGGGGCCACGATCGAGAAGGCTCTCTGCCTAGTAGATGACAAATGGTAAGTCCAGATGTCAGGGACTGTAAGCAAACCTTGGTCTTCAGACCGGAGTAATCTCTGGGGTTGGTAGGGGGATAAGCGGGCCCTCAGGTACGCCAGCCCCAGACCATGTAAGGCCTTAAAGGTTAGTACCAGCACTTTGAAAGTGATACGGTACTCAGTCAGAAGCCAGTGCAGCTGTTGGAGGACTGGGGTGATACGACACCTCGCCGGCACCCCGGCAAGAAGACGAGCCGCCGCATTTTGCACCAGCTTCAGTTTCCGGATCACTGACAAAGGAAGGCCAATGTAGAGGGCATTACAGTAGTCAAGCCTCAAGATGACCGTCGCCTGGATCACCGTAGCCAGGTCGTTCCTAGATAGGTAGGGAGCCAGTCGCCTAGCCTGACGCAGATGGAAAAACGCAGATCTGCTCACAGCAGAGACCTGGACCTCCATTGTGAGCAGCGGGTCCAATAAGACACCAAGGCTTTTTACAGAAAGTGACGGACGTAGTGTCTCGCCATCCAGGGTAGGCAGCTGGATCTCCCTCCCACCCGGGCGGCCCAGCTAAAAGATCTCCGTCTTCGCTGGATTCACCCTCAACCTGCTGGCACGCAACATCCAGTAACGGCCTCAAGGCACTGATGGAAATTTCGGGTACGGAGTCCGGCCGGCCCTCCATCCTCAGAATGAGCTGAGGGTTGGTTTTCTCGATGTTCAATGACAGGCCGAGCTTCTCGTATGCTTCTGCAAAGGTGTTTAGAGTAGTTTTCTGAATGTGCTCAGACTTTCCCCCCCATGTCTCTGGAGTTAATTTATTTTCCATTATTTCATTATATAGTATTAGTAAGTTCGGGGTTCCTTCTGAAAGATTTTATAGAAATTTGTAGTAAGCCCGTCGGGTCCTGGTGAGGAATTAATCATAATCATTGGTGGGGTTCAGAATGCTCTTTGATTGTAGGTGAACTATAAATCCTAGCAAAGTCCCAAATATCAAGGTCTGTTTCCCCAAACTCCACCAATGTTCACATTTGGGCATATTGGGTATCCGTGTCAAGTTTAGTCCAGAACTATCATTGTTTGAGTCCACAGTGATCTCTGGATGTAGGTGAACTACAACTCCAAATCTCAAGGTCAATGCCCACCAAACTCTTCCAGTATTTTCTGTTGGTCATGGGATTTCTGTGTGCCAAGTGTGGTTCAATTCCATTGTTGGTGGAGTTCAGAATGTTCTTTGATTGTAGGTGAACTATTAATCCTAGCAACTACAAGTCCCAAATGACAAAATCAATACCCCCACCCAACTCCATGGTTGGGGGTCACCGCAACAGGAGGAACTGTGTTAAGGGGTCGTGGCATTAGGAAGGTTGAGAATCACGGTTCTAGGGTCTAGGTCCCCTTTGGGTCATCTTGAGCTCTCCTTCAGCTCTAGCTCAAGTTTGAATGCTCTTCTTCATCCCTTTCTGCTTTCCCGTCTTTCTTCCCCTTCCCAAGGACATCTTTTCTTCCATCTCTGCCTCATTTGGTCCAGTTCCCCCTCCCGTGCTGACTCCCCGACCTCCAAAGCGCAAGCCTTTCCTTCCAGCTAATCCGTAAATTACAAGATGCTCCTATTTTTAAAATCCTTTCCCTTGTCACCTTCCTCCTTATCTAGGGATTTGGGATGCTGCTGATGGAGGAGGCAGAAAGAATCGCCAAAGAAGAGCACGGGTCGTGGAAGATTGCCGTTATTTCAGGTACGTCACGGGCGCATTGGCCCTTCCGGGTTTATTTGTCCGATAAGCTCCGAGGGCAGGCCTTATTAGCCAGAGGACGGAGACGCAGAAGTTGAAAAGATATTGGAGCACTTGATGATGGAATAACCAAACATAGAAGGTTGGATAGCTTTCTCTTGGAAATGGTTTAGCTGGGAGCTTTGCTTTCTTTCTCGGAATCTTTAGTTTCTCCAGTACGTCTGGAGAAAGTATGACGGCTGGAATTATACTGGAGGGCCTAGGAATGCCTACAGAGAACATTATAATCGATGGATAATCAAACCTATACATGTCAGTCCTTTTTTCTCTGGAATTCCAAAACTTCCCAATATTTTACTTTTATTTATTTACTTACTTACTTACTGTATTTGTATACCGCCTTTCTCAGCCCATAGGTTATTTATTTATTTATCGTGTCAGGAGCAGACCAAACAGTTGTGTTGCATTTTTAACAAACAGACAGACAGACAGACAAAACACAAAGTCTGCAAGCTTGGTAGTTGATTAAATGTCCTTTGACCAGTATCTGGCCACTTGGAGTGCCTCTGGTGTTGCTGCAAGAAGGTCCTCCATCATGCATGTGGCAGGGCTCAGGTTGCATTGCAGCAGGTGGTCTGTGGTTTGCTCTTCTCCACACTCGCATGTCGAGGATTCCACTTTGTGGCCCCATTTCTGAAGGTTGGCTCTGCATCTTGTGGTGCCAGAGCGCAGTCCGTTCAGCGCCTTCCAAGTCGCCCAGTTTTCTGTGTGCCCAGGGGGGAGTCTCTCATTTTGTATCAGCCATTGGTTGAGGTTCTGGGTTTGAGCCTGCCACTTTTGGACTCTCGCTTGCTGGAGTGTTCCTGCAAGTGTCTCTGTAGATCTTAGAAAATTATTTCTTGATTTAAGGCGTTGACGTGCTGGCTGCTACCCAAACAAGGGATGAGCTGGAGATGTCACTGCCTTGGTCCTTTCACTATTGGTTGCTACTTCCCGGCAAATGTCAGGTGATGTGATACCAGCTAAACAGTGTAATTTCTCCAGTGGTGTAGGGCGCAGGCACCCCGTGATAATGCAGCATGTCTCATTAAGAGCCACATCCACTGTTTTAGCGTGGTGAGATGTGTTCCAAACTGGGCATGCATACTCAGCAGCAGAGTAGCATATGTCTTCACTGTGTCTGGTTGCGATCCCCAGGTTGTTCCAGTCAGCTTTCGTATGATATTATTTCTAGCACCCACTTTTTGCTTGATATTCAGGCAGTGCTTCTTGTAGGTCAGAGCACGGTCCAGAGTGACTCCCAGGGATTTGGGTGCTCTGCAATGCTCCAGAGGGATTCTTTCCCAGGTGATCCTCAGAGCTCGGGATGCTTGTCTGTTCTTGAGATGAAAGGCACATGTCTGTGTTTTAGATGGATTAGGGATCAGCTGGTTTTCCCTGTAATAGGCAGTAAGAGCATCTAGAGCTTCGGAAAGCTTCTGTTCAACCCTCTCAAAGCTCTCAAAGCACAATCATCAGCATAGATGAAACTCTCTGTCCCTTCTGGCAGTGGCTGGTCACTTGTGTAAATGTTGAACATGGATGGAGCAAGCACGCTCCCCTGAGGCAGGCCGTTCTTCTGTTTCACTTCTCAACAAAAGTTTGCTCCAGGCACTGTCAGGCCATTATATGCTAATCAAGGTGGTCAGTTGAAGCATTCACACCTAGCTCCAGCAGACAAGAGTTCTTTGTCCCACCCTGGTCATTCCTACAACAACCCAGTGATTCCGGCCATGAAAGCCTTCAACAAGGCAAGAATAGAGATTCCAACTAAACATTAGGAAGAATGATGGCAAGAGCTGTTCAGCAATGCCTTGAGCATTGCAAAGTCTCCTCCTCTAAGCAGCTGGATGGTCATCTGTCGGTCATCTGTTGGGAGTGCTTGGATTGTGTCTTCCTGCCTGGCAAAAAGGGGTTGGACTGGATAGCCCTTGAGGGTCCCTTTGAACTCTTTGATTAACTACCATTTTGTAGTGTCGCTACAGCACAAGTCAGCCTGGAATGGAGTGGGAAGGAATAGCCAATCTGGGTGCCGTCTGGAAAAGCGTGCACACCTTTTTGCCTTTCTTTGTGAGCTCATATCTCAGGAAGGAAGGAGTGGGTGTGTTCCTTTCTTCCAACTCCTGTCTTCCCAAGAGTTCTGTTGTTGGGGACAATTGTTTATCTTAAAAAGCACACCAAGAAACCCAGAACCAGCGAAGCGCTTATTAAAAACAGCTTGTGTTGTGGCTACCGACAATTTGCGGCTGCATCTCAATGAATCTGGGAGGCCTTGCTTTGCTCTTCTCCCCCTCTGAGGATGAAAGCATTGGTGAGAGGGCTCATTTGAATGGTAATATTGCCCATTGGAGCAGACATTGACGTGAATGTAAATCGGGACGTAGCAGGGCTCTGACGTCCTGGCCTTGTGGAGTCAGGTTTGCTTTTACAGCTGCTCTCTCCCTCGCGTGTATAGCATGAGCATGAAATCCTCTCATCGGCCAGGACTCCTTTCGTCCGCCAAGGCCTTGAATTCAGAACCGAATGCTCAGGAAGGCCATTGAAGTGCCTTCAAAGAAAGGAAGTGGCGCCTCTTTCCTATTACCTAGGAAATGCTATCTGAGGAGCACCAGTTTCTTGGTGGAGGTTTTTATCAGGATCGGCTTCAGCATGAAAGGAGATGAACCCTCCTTGGTTGATTTCGGGACGGAGAGCCTGCCAGCCTTCCCTTTTGCGCTGGGAAAAATGTCTGAATTTCTCAGCAGTCGCCAAAGATTTTTAAAACCCTTCGGCAAGCTTCCAGTCTGTCAGCAGGAGCCAAGTTCTTTATACTTGATGTAAGAAAGCCACAATATTGATACTATAGATCTGGTGGTCTTTGCTTCTTACAGCACGTTGACGTTTGTCCGCTTATCTTCCCAAGAGATTTGCAGGATTTTCCGGAGGCAGTGCTGATGGAATCGTTCCAGGAGTTGCAGATGACATGTGTAGACAGTACACGTCTCACAGGTGTATAGCAGGGTTGGGAGGACAATAGCTTTATAAACAAGCACCTTGGTATCCCTATGGAGGTCCTGGTCCTCAAACACTCTGCTTCATTCGGAAAAATGCTGCACTCACAGAGCTCAGGCAGTGTTGTATTTCGGTGTCGATGTTGACTTTGGTGGAGAGGTGGCTGCCAAGGTAGCAGACCGCCAATATTGAAGCAATGGTCCTCCGCCATCAACTCCACTGGACCGGCCACATTGTCCGGATGCCCGACCACCGTCTCCCAAAGCAGTTGCTCTACTCCGAACTCAAGAACGGAAAACACAATGTTGCTGGAGAGGAAAAGAGATTTAAAAATGGGCTCAAAGCCAACCTTAAAATCTCTGGCATATACACTGAGAACTGGGAAGCCCTGGCCCTTCAGCGCTCCAGCTGGAGATCAGCTGTGACCAGCAGTGCTGTAGAATTTGAAGAGGCATGAATGGAGGGTGAAAGAGAGAAACGTGCCAAAAGGTAGGCATGTCAAGCCAACCCCGACCGGGATCGCCTTCCAGCTGGAAACTATACATCTGCAGGCCATAAAAACTGCCCTGGGAGACTCTAGTTCACCAGCTTTCTGCACACTTTAACACAGTGTTTCTCAACCTTCCTAATTCCGTGACCTCTTATGTTGTGGTGACCCCCCAAGTACAGTGTTTCTCAACCTTCATAGAATCATAGAATCACAGAGTTGGAAGAGACCTCATGGGCCATCCAGTCCAACCCCATTCTGCCAAGAAGCAGGAATATTGCATTCAAATCACCCCTGACAGATGGCCATCCAGCCTCTGTTTAAAAGCTTCCAAAGAAGGAGCCTCCACCACACTCCGGCAGAGAGTTCCACTGCTGAACGGCTCTCACAATCAGGAAGTTCTTCCTCATGTTCAGATGGAATCTCCTCTCTTGTAGTTTGAAGCCATTGTTCCGCGTCCTAGTCTCCAGGGAAGCAGAAAACAAGCTTGCTCCCTCCTACCTGTGGCTTCCTCTCACATATTTATACATGGCTATCATATCTCCTCTCAGCCTTCTCTTCTTCAGGCTAAACATGCCCAGCTCCTTAAGCCGCTCCTCATAGGGCTTGTTCTCCAGACCTTTTATCATTTTAGTCGCCTCTCTGGACACATTCCAGCTTGTCAATATCTCTCTTCAATTGTGGTGCCCAGAATTGGACACAATATTCCAGGTGTGGTCCAACCAAGGCAGAATAGAGCACGGGGAGCATGACTTCCCTGGATCTAGACACTAGACTCCTATTGATGCAGGCCAAAATCCCATTGGCTTTTTTTGCCGCCACATCACATTGTTGGCTCATGTTTAACTTGTTGTCCACGAGGACTCCCAAGATCTTTTTCACACGTACTCCCTAATGCCACAGCTCCTTAATCCAGTTCCTCATGTTGTGCTGACTCCCAACCATAACATTATTTCTCATTGCTACTTCATAACTGCAATTTGCTACTGTTATGAATCGTCATGTAAATACCTGATATGCAGGATGTAATTTCATTCACTGGACCAAATTTGGCACAAATACCCGATACGCCCAAATTTGAATACTGGTGAGGTTGGGGAGGATTGATTTGGTCATTTGGGAGTTGTAGTTGTTGGGATTTATCGTTCACCTACAATCAAAGAGCATTTTGAACTCCACAAACATTGGAATTGAACCAAACTTGGCACACTTGAACTCCCACAACCAACAGAAAATGCTGGAAGGGTTCTGAACTCCACTAATGATGGAATTGAGCCAAACTTGGCACACAGAACTCTCATGACCAACAAAAAATACTGCAAGGGTTGGTGGGCATTGACCTTGAGTTTGGGAGTTGTCGTTCACCTACAACCAGAGAGCACTGGACTCAAACAATGGAGAATCTGGACCAAACTTGGCACGGATACTCAATATGCCCAAATGTGAACACTGATGAAGTTTGGGGAAAATAGACCTTGACATTTGG